GTTTTGGATGAATGATCGTTAAGCATGTTGTCCTGCTCTGACGATGTCCGTCACATGAAGAACGAAAGCTTGGCAAGGATTCATCGGGTTCGCAGGGCATTGCGCAGAGGACCTATTCGCACAAATCTACAACCACAGCTCTAAGGCGATCCCCCCCAGTCTTCGGTGGCACCAAGTTATGAATCCCTTCCAATATCCTCTTCAAGCGAAATGAAAGGTACTCCAACGTGGATCTATTTAGAGATTCTTTAAAACGAAATTTTTCTACATGCCAAACCAAGTTATTGCAGTTTTATTAGCATTCCAGACACGATTTAGAGAGAAATTGATTGTGAAGCATTAAAGCAGAATTATCGAATTTAGTTAGCTGAGGAAGAAACCTGGTGGCAGCTCGTGCGGAGTAGTGAAACGATTATAGGAAATATTTTGATAAGCCCGGTAATATCAACAAATAAGTAGCAAAACAATGAAACGAAGCGAATAATCATATAAATATATTGTATTTACAAATGGGGCTTATGAAACAAGAGGTTTGCCACCAAAAATAGATGAGACTAAGTATTATCATCTCCAGCAGCCTCTAAGATTGCACCGCTGTAGGCGAGATCCCAATAATGCTCGACATCACGCTTCTTAAATTGTTCACGAGCATACAGTTCAGTAGGGCATGTTTTAAACTGTATTTTCCCAAATGCTCGTTGCTTTACGGTACCCTAGAACAATATAGGTTGGGATTAAAATAATATAGTGAAACACGAGACTAGACAAAAATTGAGACAAAGTGGTGGTAATGAAACTTGAAACGCGCATTAATAAGTAATACAATTAAAATATTCCAACAAAAGCCTACCTCCCAAACCAACCGACAAAGACTACTACCATCACCAAGGGCTCCAACAGAGTCAGACTTTGAGATAACAGCCCCCCTACGCGACTCATTCCATTTGATTCTATGCAGCATAAGTCGCTTGAATTTTCGATGCTGCTTAGCGCCCCCCTCGACGACAATCGCGTTGCAGTCACGGTGCAAAGTAACTATGCCTGTCATAAGGAGTTGATTGACATTTTTTTCCACCTTAAAACGATGGGCCGGATTTGAAAGATCTTTTACTCTAAAAGAGAATAGGAAAATAAAATGAACGGCT